ATTTCTTTGAATAATAAAGCTATCGGGATAAAGTACGACTTGTATATGTTTTATTTGCATATAAATCATTCTACCAATTTTTTTCCGGATCAGTCCATAATTGGTAATAGCAGCTATATAAGGTCCACTTCAAAAAAATCATATTTCATTATCAAATAAAGCTTTCTTGATAAAATTCGACAGAAATATGTATGTTTTGTATCCATACATATGAATCACTCTACGAAATTTTTCCGGAGAGGCCCTTAATTGGTCATAGCTCACATATATAAAGTCCATTTCCGAAAATTACTTAAACGCACATTGACAAAGTTATCTGGATAAAATTCGACATAAAGGTGTATTTTGTATGTATAAATTCTATTAAAATGTTTTCGAACTGACCTATTAATATAAATTTTTCTGGACCTAATCAAAATTAGTTCCACATATGCAAAAATGTTAGTACCCTCACTACGGAAACAAAAATTTTGTCAAGTTATCTAGTTAAATGGGTTTTAATAAAAAGTACCTGGCTGGTGGAGGGTATTTAAGATTCGGCATAGCCGAATATAGCACTCTAACTTGTTATAATATTCTTTTGAATTTTGTGAGTATCGGTTTAGAATGGGTCAATGATGCTACTACTGACTTTAATAAATTTTATATTTTAAACCAATATTTATTCCACTAACAAATTTTTACTCAATTATCAATTTACCTACCGCCAAAAAGGAGATATTACTAAGTCACGACAATATTAGATTTGCGGTTGATTTCATTTGAAACGACATGCACAGATATTTTCTCTTTTCACGTCTTACTAAATATTTCTAACGTTCATTTGTTGTCGCTTTTTTTTCTATTTGAGAATAATAATAATTTTTTTGTTGTTATTTAATAACAACTATGAAGTCATTTATTGTTTATTTAAACACGCTTAAATACGTTACAAATTTGTATTAATTGAAAGGTGTTATCATGATTAATAAATATGGATTATTTTCAATAAAACAACTGTAGAAATCGAAATAAACGTACAAAACAAAAAACTATTTAAGCGCCAAACCCATTGTCTTGTCTTCCAATTGTTTCCAATCAATTTGTTACGATTTCTAATACAACACATAAAATCTAGATCAATGTAAATGAAGTCAGTTTAATTTAGATATTAATTTAAGCTTCAATTATTACTTGAAATTTATTTAAAAAAATTTAAATTTTGTATAAATGGAATTCTTTTGTTTTTGGGTAGTGCTTACGAAATTTTAATTGAGCTAATAAATACATATTTTCTCTAAAATTTTTTTGTGTTTCAAATGCATATATAATTTTAATAACTTTTTATAAATTCAATCTAATTTCTGATTTCTTTTAACAGGATTTAACTTTATCGTATTTGTGTCTTATAAGATTTCTGGTTTCTATTTAATATAAATTTTGCCTTAATCCATCTTTATGAAGCAATCGATTTTAATATTTAACGTTTTATTTTCATTATAATTAAAATTATTTTAATAACCAGTCCATACATCAACTATAATTTAGATTTTATAGCTTAAAGCATAATTTTTATTTATTTTTGCAAATTATTAACATTAATATAATGGTCCGGCTTGTTTAATTAATTGTATGTCTAAAAGAAATCGTTAATTGATTTTTATTTTGCAAGTGAGTTTTACAAATATGCAAGATACACGTAAGTAAAGCTCACCATTTTATAATGCCAGGCAGGGATAGACCCTGGGATACACTATATCAAATGATAGCTGGACTGTTGGGATTAATTATGTAATTTTGTAGGAAATTTGTAAAACGATTAACTTTATAAGATTTATAGTATCGTTAGAATTTGGAACATCGATATTACCAGGATATTTATATGTATTGGGAAGATTTCATTATAACGGTTAAAAGCAGAATATCAGACAAGGCCCTCAACTATAAGCAACATGCTAATTTTAAGGTCTAATCAGGGAAAACCGCAATCAATGAATTCGTCCACTATATGCTAAGGGATTGATGTATAAGCTGAGAGATGTACGCTATATCTATCAGCAAATTTCAGAAATTTTGTACTCTAGACTAATAGGCTACTGAGGACCCTCATCGAGAATGGACTTAGACATTCTCGATGACATACAGATAATGTCGTAATACTACTAAAGAGAAAAGATCCAAATTACTTGTATAGAAATACCTAGGAAACCCTGAATATTGCCTTATAATGGGCTCAACTGTGAGATATGAATAAAAATAAAAATACTGGTAACCGACAGCGTTGTGTGCTTAGGTGTAATCCTTGACCAAATGTAAAAATGAGAATCATAGGGTCTTAGACCTACTATTACACACTGACTTTATAAAATCACGATTACACGAACGTATACTCAAGAGAGAATATGTATATTGAAAACCCAGCAACAAAAATCCTCTGTGAAATAGCGGAAAAACAAACAGAATTTGTCCATAACATTATATCCAATATACGGAATCGGTTCATACATGAACATCTAAACTTTGGTGATGTACAAACAAAATATACTAAACCTTTTCCTACTCGCAACACTAGACTCTGGGTAACAGCGGAATGAGTAAACTGGATTGGAATTGGGCGAGTTTACAAGGTTATTCTAAGATCGTATTGGACTAAAAATATGTCCTAACCGTATAGTCTCCCATAGGAAATCGGTGTATCTTATGGTTAAGAGCCTATGCGGGAATAGTCGGATGAATGGGAGCTCGAGGAAGTTAAGGATTGAAAGTAGGATGAAAAGCTTTTTCAGAATGAGCACGTTCGAGATAAGTATGATGATACTTACTCCAATCAGCCACAGTAGATTACAGGCACAACTTATATAATTGAATCGTATTCAGGCGAATGTAATTATAACAGGGAATTATAGCAGGGAAATTCTGGAGCACTTTCTTTGCCATTATCTTGAGGACGATTTTATTCCATATATTTAAACTCTCAAGAACACTGATTGGAAAATTCTAAGGAATTATATCTAGGAAACTGAGTATATGACCATCGAAGGGTAAAATCTTTAAAGGAGTGCACAACAGGTTCGATAATGATCTATGTGTATTTCGTCGGATCTAACCAGACTTACTCAATTTAAAAAAAATGATTCTCATATTTCGAATCGGTCAACATTATCAGAATATTAGGATTTGATGTAGTATACATCCTCCTGTCAACTTACCTACCTCCCTACATAAAATAAGTAGGTCCCGCTCTACCTATAGCTGCTTACAAATTTATTTGAATTAAATTTTGTTACAAAATAAATATTATAAATATACTCTCTATGGACCAAACTCTCAGAGTTTGGTAAAACTATTTTTCTTATTATCAATAATTTATATTATATTTCGAGCAATTTATTGAGGAAAGGCTGATTTTCTGAAAGAGGTTTTATACGGGATCTAACATTATCGCAAACGTATAATAGCGATGTAGGATCTGTACATAAATATAAATTTATTTTATGTAAACTGGTCATAATTAATTTGTTGTACGCATCCAATTGCAATTTTACACATTCCTTCCAAATAAGTGCAAAAATTAGTTTTAACTTTTAATAAATATTTAAAATTTTATTAAACTCGTTTATTAAGGATTTTTTTTTAAATTTCTTCTTTAAAGGCACTGAAAACAATTTAATAATAAAATATAAGTTATTAATAATTATTTATTTAATATATAATACTTATAATGTTCGTAATTTGTGTAAAAATTAACTTAAATAATTAAGCAATAAACTTACATTAAATTATAATAAAACTTACATTAAATAATTTAACTTAATCTTATAAATATTTGATATGTTTTGTATTCCGAAAAGGCACTTTTTTACACATAACTGTTAAAAATATAAAAGTTATTAAATACTAAAGCATAATAAATTTTATTAAATGCTTAATTGAGTCAATAATTTTTTAATTAATTATTAATTTTTATTTCTTTAAATAACAAAGAGTATTATATAGGTTTATCCTAAGTAATATTAACCGGAGTAAATCTTTAGAGTATTCACATTAGTCGTATAATCGATCAAATAAAAAAATTTTCGAAACTGTGACGCTATTTTAGATTGAACAGGTTAGAATATGTTTTGCACAGAACTAGAACTGAACTAGAATTAAACTAGAAGAGAACTAGAACTGAACAGAAATGAACTGAACTGAACTAAAACTTAACTAGAACTGAACTTGAACTGAACTAGAACTGAACTAGAACTGAACTAGAACTGAGCTAGAACTGAACTAGAACTGAACTAGAACTGAACTAGAACTGAACTAGAACTGAACTAGAACTGAACTAGAACTGAACTAGAACAGAACTAGAACAGAACTAGAACTGAACTAGAACTGAACTAGAACTGAACTAGAACTGAACTAGAACTGAACTAGAACTGAACTAGAACTGAACTAGAACTGAACTAGAACTGAACTAGAACTGAACTAGAACTGAACTAGAACTGAACTAGAACTGAACTAGAACTGAACTAGAACTGAATTAGAACTGAACTAGAACTAGAACTGAACTAGAACTAGAACTGAACTAGAACTGAACTAGAACTAGAACTGAACTAGAACTGAACTAGAACTGAACTAGAACTGAACTAGAACTGAACTAGAACTGAACTAGAACTGAACTAGAACTGAACTAGAACTGAACTGAACTAGAACTGAACTAGAACTGAACTAGAACTGAACTAGAACTGAACTAGAACTGAACTAGAACTGAACTAGAACTGAACTAGAACTGAACTAGAACTGAACTAGAACTGAAATAGAACTGAACTAGAACTGAACTAGAACTGAACTAAACTAGAACTGAACTAGAACTGAACTAGAACTGAACTAAACTAGAACTGAACTAGAACTGAACTAGAACTGAACTAGAACTGAACTAGAACTGAACTAGAACTGAACTAGAACTGAACTAGAACTGAACTAGAACTGGACTAGGACTGAACTAGAACTGAACAAGAACTGAACTAAACTGAACCAGAGCTGAATTAGAACTAAATTGATCTAGAACTGAACCGGAATAGAAGTAGAACTCAACTAGAATTGAGCTAGAACTGACCTAGAAGTAAACTAGAACTGAACTGCGAGAACACTCACAGGTTACTTGGCCCATTGTTATAACCTTATTATAATTTTAAAATAAATTATTCCAATGGTTACAGGATGAAACCTCCGGTACTTTAATATGGTATCTCTTTCTGTGCTCTTGTAGAGCGAGATTTTATTTGATATTCAGCTAGAGGCAATAGTATATCGTTCAGATGTCGAATTTGTTCAATACCGCAGACAGGCCGATTCATTAATTGCGCATTTATTGTAAGGTTAATTTGAGAATCATATCAATTCAAGAGAATGTCATCCAAGTTGGGTCAGAGAGTGAATTTAATTGGGAATATATTTTAAATGTTCACGTTCCAGGCTATTAACTTGTATGGTTGAAAGGTGAACCGACATATAATTTCGGATCAAAAAACAAAAAAAGAAATAATTTCTAAAAATTGGTAAATGTGAATACACCTACTTTTTTAGATTCCGTCAAAGTAGTTAATTAATTAAACAATATTTCATTATTTTAATATTTATAGTATAAAATAGTATATTTTAATTTATTGTATTTAAATATTATAAAAATATTATAATTAATAATTTACATTATTATAATTAAGATTATATTTATACATTAATTAATCATATTTTCTATTTTAAATTTTTTGGTACTAAATCTTTGGAAAAATATTATACAGACTTTTTGGTTTAGTAGGAAAAACTAAAAAAGTTATAAACTTAAAATTATACATCTTTGGATTTTTTAGCTGGTTTACGAAAAGTTTTACTACAAAATAAACTTTTTGAAAGGGAAAATAATAATGAGACAAAATTAAAATTAAATATTTACAGATTTGAAAAAAAATATAAAATAAAATTATAAATTGCAAAATTAATTATTTGTGATAATCTCTTTAAAATTATTGTTAATTAGTACATAGTTTAAGTTCATATTTTAAATTCAATAAATTATATTTTAGTTAACAAATTTTCACTATTTACACTCTTCAAACTAATTAACGATATACATACATACAAACAACCATAGTTTATGATATTAACTCTTAAATTATTCTAAATACTTTAAACCTACCGATAATCTCGTTACTTATAATGATAACGCAAGGACTCCTCATCGGAATCCTCTTCATCACTGGAAGAGGGCGGTGTTTCTAGATTCGCCACCGCCACATCTAGATAATCTTCATTCGTTAGCAGTAGTTTATCTAAATTCTCTACTATTTCGGTAAATGTGGGTCTAGCAGTGCCATCGAAATGCCAACACTGACGCATCAACATATAAATATTGAGCGAACATTTGGCGGGCTTCTCCATACGCTGACCAGACATCAGATAACTGTATAACTCCTCAGCTGACATAATGGTGGGATAGGGCTGGGCACCAAATGTCATTATTTCCCACAGCAATATGCCGTAGGACCAGACATCACTTTGAGAATCATAGAATTTCTCTTGCAGAGATTCAGGAGCCATCCATTTGATGGGCAGACGACCATTGGTGTTTTTACGATAATAGTCGGTGTCTTGTATGTCACGAGCTAAACCAAAATCGGCTATTTTCATGACATAGTCATCGGATACCAGAACATTACGCGCCGCCAAATCACGATGTATACAACGGCGTGAAGCCAAATACTCCATGCCACGGGCAATTTGAAAGGCGAAAGAGATTAAATGTTTTTCGGTAAGATGATGTTGCGGAGAGGTTAGATTGCCATCTTTATCGTATTCCTTGCCAGGTCTGTTTTTATTCAAAAAATCTTTGAGATTGCCATGAGGAGCAAATTCCACTATAACATACAGAGGACCACTCTGGGAGCAACAACCCAAAAGATTGATAATGTTAATGTGTTTGCCGATAATTTTCATAACCTCCATTTCACGCACCAAACTGGCAATATCATCATCAGTGTGGCCCTCTTTGACCATTTTGACTGCTACTATAGCATTATTTACCTCTGCCATTACCACTCGGCCAAAGGCACCTTCACCCAAGGTGGCTCCCAGTATCAGCTGGTTGCGTGGTATTTCCCAATGAGAATCCAAAGGAAATTCATATTCATTAAAAGGCACTGGCTCTGAGTTGGAGCTTTGTAAGACGGTAGTACGCTGTTTTTCAATTTTCACCACTGGCATAATCATGGCATCCATGGATCCCGAGGAATCACCACTGGCGGGTTTGTATACTATAACTTTCTTAGTCCATTGATGCACCGTTTCGATGCGCTGTTTCAGCAACTTTTCATGCTTCATTTTACGCCATACATAGTAAATGAAAATGGCTAATAACAATAACATTAATATAATTACTGTGGCCACCACCACTTCCCATAAAGTTTGTGATCTTATTACTTTGGTAACCTTAGTTTCGCTGGGATCTTTTACTCTTAGGTAAGCACTTTTTAGAGATTTACCCAAACCATTTATTTCCATGCAGGTGTACCAGCCCTCTTGATCTTTAGTAACATTTTCAAATCTCAAAACATCTTGTACATCTTGGAGTACTGTGCTATTGGGCGAACAACCGTGTGTGGAGTTGCAAGGGGTGAAAGTCCAACTTTTCGAACTGAATAGATCGGATAGATAGGTACAATTCATTTCGCCACTTTCATTTATAAATAAAGTTAAATTGGCCGGTGATATCAGACTAATAGGTTTGTGATTGACACGATCACTAATATGCAGACTTGTGGTGTGATTTATACAGCCATAGGGATTGCAAACTTTACAGGTATATAAACCTGAATCAGTGGGTAATAGATCCTCCATAAAAAGTGACCATTTAGTGCGGCGTATTTTACTGCCATTGAGTAATATTTTAGTGCCATTAACGAGCCAGGTTATATTGGGATCCGGTTTGCCTATGGAGGGGCAAGAGAGTTGTATAAAACTGCCAGAGGGTTTGGAATAAATATTACGTAGATTTTTGGGATTTTTAAATTTGGGCAATTTATCCGATTGCTGAGGCTGTTGTTGATGATTGTCCTCTTCGTCATCGGCATCATCATTACGATCACGTTCCTGAGCTCTCTCCTCATCGGCTTCGGTATCATCAAATTGATATGGAGATATGCTGGCATTTGTATTACTACCACTTGCACCACCACTACGTTTTCTTACTTCCACTTGTGAAGTGTAGCCGCCATAGTCATAATCATTCGCATCCGAGGGAGAAAATCGTCTAGCCATAGCCGTTACCGGCGTTGTTGTAATGACGGTAATATATATTAACGCGACGGCCAATATTAAAAAGTAATTAATGTATCCTAAAGGAGTTTTATGTCTTGCACTTTGCGATCTTAACACCATGATGTTTGTTTATAAAATGAATGCAACAATCTGTGATATATGTGGCAATAGGCCTTTTAACAAAGTTCACTCAATCAGTGATAGTTCGGCTCTCTTTCTTATTCCTTGAGCACTCTTGTTGTCACGTGCTCTCTCGATTTCTCTCAATGTGATTTTGAGTAAAATTTAAGAGGGTTTGTTTAAGGGTTTTTTGGTTGTGCCTCTTTTAATGACAACATGGTATTTTTGTTGCCGTTTTCATTTATGACACATGTGTTGCAAGTATGTTGCTTTAAGTTTCACTTTTCTTTTAATGATCCTCAAAATAAATGTTTTTCTATTACTTTTTTTGGGTTGTTGTTGTTATTGTGTCGTGTTGTGGTGTGTTGTACCGGAAATCCACTTAAAAGCAAAAAGATTGAAAATCCATTCAAAACTCAAATGCACTGGGCCCAAGGAGAAACGCAGCAAATGATGCGCCTCTTTTGCTGTTCAGCCCAAGGAGAAGAAGATGAAATCTCAAAACTTTATTTCTAGTTGAAAATCTCTATTGTTGCAGTTGTTGTTGCTGTTGTTACTGTAGCTGTTTGATTTGTTAGTCTAATGATCTGTAGCAACATGTGTTTCTTTTGGGGCTACAAATCTAAAAATATAATATGTGTATATGTATCTTTTTGTCTTTATATTTAAATTTCTAATTTTAAATGTTTGATGTTAAAATCATTAAAATCCATAAATGTTTGTGTGTCTCATTTGCCGCCTTGTTGTACGATCGATCGATTGTACGAACTCCTGCTTTAGAATTTCCCAGTGATGATTGATGTGGCAAGCGTAAAGAATTTCTGTGATTATAATAATACAAATGATACTTTTTTGGGCGGGTGATGATGTTATTACAAGATAATGATCACCTTTCGTTTTACGTTAAAGGTAAATATTTCGTTTTGTTTTCTTGGCAACGGAAATGTTCTTATTTCGTTTTGTGTTATGATCATTTAAAATGTGATATTTATTTATGTGTTTTAATTAGGTTTTGTGTCATTTTTAGCATAATATCTTCATCAATCTTCATCATCTTTCCCATAATTCCTCTGGAGCATAGATAGAAATAGTCTAGGCGCTGATAAATTTATTAGGCCCACATTTTCTTTTCTTCGTTTTTTTGTTTAAAACTTTTAAAGGTGTTAGTTTGGTTTGTTGTTTTTTTTTTTTCGGTAATAATTTTAGTTGTTTTATTCTGTTGTTGGTAGTTTTATGTGATTTATATCCACAGCATCGTTTGTCCAATTTCAAATCTGTACAAAAAAGAGGGAAAACAAAAGTATATTTATTATATGTATTTGTACACAAAATTTTGAAATACTTAAAATTCTATATGATAAAAAAATTTTTCTTCTTTAGGATTATATAGTTTATGGTATTTTGACATATTTTTGTTGTAAATTTCTTTTAATTATTTGAAGTAGAAAATTCAACGGAATTCGTTAATTTCCCCTTAATGTTTATGTTAAATCGAGTGGATAAATATTTCTTTTACACCTTTTTACCATTTCATAAATATGAATATAATCATTTTGTAGATAACTTACTGAAATGTTTGTTTGGGGGTTCATAAATTGGCTGGATGTTCATGTAAAATATCATAAACTAAAAATTATTCTGATTAAGTAGTTAAAACAGCATCAAAATTTAAGAAATTTGTCCTTAATGATATAAGAGTCAGGAAAGTACATAGAGTTTCCCACCTACGTGCTATAAGTCTTTAGCTAATTTGTATGGAAATTGAAAAGAATACTAATTTTGAAATCAGCACCAACGCATAATACCCTCCCCATTACAGTGGTGTAGGGAATAAATATCGATATTCTTCCACCCTTTCATGAATAAAGCTAAACCGCTGGACTTTTAATTGATATAACTTCACTTCACACTTTATTTTGAAGTGTTTCATCACTTTTGATGAAATATGGAAAAAGTTTTTTCAAAGGATATCGCAGGATAATATCCTTTTTAGCATGTGTGACATCAAATTCTAAAAAACAACATAGTTTTATTTAGAACTTGAACAATCCGTTGCCAATAGTGAGCTTACCACGTTTGTTAACATTTAGACAACGGATGTGTATAAAATTTAGATTTTGACAACGAATTGTTGCAATGTTGACAACGTTGCGACATAGTGTTGTCGTACGTATGTATATACTTTGACAACGGTTGTTATTGAAAAATTACAAACTCTTTGGTGCCAATTTGGTACCAAGCGTGTATATTTCTTTTTCCCTCTGTGTATGTAATGTTGACAACGCAACGTTGACAAACAATCCGTTGCCAATAGTGAGCTTACCACGTCTGTTAACATTTAGACAACGGATGTGTATAAAATTTAGATTTCGTCAACGAATTGTTGCAATGTTGTCAACTTTGACAACGGATGTTATTGAAAAATTATAAACAGTTTGGTGTCAATTTGGTACCAGGCGTGTATATTTCTTTTTTCCTCTGTTTAGGAGAAGAAACGCAAGATTAATTATTTTAATTCTGAAAAAATATTCAGAATATTACTTTCCGGCTTGAATAAAACATATACATAGTCAACATTTCACTAAAATTTTTCAAGTCCTACGTTATTCTCCAAAGAGTCTTGTGTAAAATTCATAAATATTTTGACGATTTGAGACAAAAAGCTTTAAAAAAATCAAAAAAAAAAAAAAAAAAAAAAACTGGATTCTTATTCAATGCCAATATTTCTATGAATTTATCCAATATGTTCCTCATATATTGATCATAAATGTTTAATAATGGAAATCGGCCAAAGAGGAAAACTACCAACAGATTGAAACCCATTAAAATGCTATTGGGCCCAAACTAAAGTTTGGAGAGCTGAATTTCCAAAATAATTATGTTTTCGTTTGCCGTCTTTCTAATTTGCTTTTCGACTAGTTTTAGGAGGCATTTTTTCATAACACCTTTAACCCAGTTCGCAATTATTCGAATATGGGAACTACAATAATCTGAAGAATGGCAAAAAAATGCTCATTTCTTTTTACCACTTTTAAGAAACTTGACAATAACTGTTTGCTCAGGAACTTCCCAGCAAAAGTAGGCTCAGTGGATGTATCTTAGTAACTCATAGGTATTAGATACTTATATAACTCCCTACTTGTAATCGAGCGTGGAAAGTACTCGCCTCCAATATCATCACTGTATTAAAATAATGACTTTAAATGCCATTGTGTCTTTTTCCCTGTCACTCTATGTTGAATTATACATGAAAGAAGAAGAAAATGATATGTAATGATATTGTTCAATATAAGTTTTTGTTGGGTTGGATTCTCTTGCAAATTGAATTTAAAAAAAAAAAATGAATCCTTATAAGAGAATCATTGAGAATACCTTCCATAAAACTCTATTTACGCTGCTTTAGTGGGTCTTTAGACTTCTTGGAAAGAAAACTATAATCAGATCTCTTCAAACTAAGTTGACCCCAAGTCAGGCATATGATTACTGTTATCACCGGATATTGAAAATTTGGTTCCTTGCTAAAGTACTGCGATTACCCTATAATGACTTCTGCCATAAGCTAGGAGATGCGTCTTTTAAATTTCAAAGACAGTGCATTGTTGACGATCTGTCAGAGCTATATAATTGGTTAAAAAATGGTAACTTCTGGTTGCAGCTAATATGTCTTTGACTCTCCTCCTTCTACACCTTTTTTGATTGCTCTTCCTCTTCAAATTATAGTATACTGTACTTTCAGCAGGTCTGACCTACGTGTACTAGTTCCCTACAAAAATTATTGGAGTACAAGATTCATTTATCGAAAATCTACTCCCCCATATACATTATTGGAATATATGGTCCGCTACGTAGTTCTATGTGGTGAGTTATCGACCATATTTAAAATTTTTAAAAAGCAACATTTGGAATTAGTCTGATGTAATGCATAGATGGATTACGTCATCCTCAGCTAGGACCTCACAATTTTAAATGGAGTATGTTTTTTCATACATTTGGATTAGTTTCGGACCAGTTCTAGTTCTTTGAGGAGAACTCTTTACATGCATGTGCGGAGTAGTCTCAATTTTCGCAGGGTTCAGTGTTCAAACTAAACTAAACTAAATATAGACAATATAACTAAAATGATAAAATTATGTTGGACCATATATTTTGAATCAAAACTTTGTTCGGGCATACATAGCTGGCTAGATATATGATCTATAATATCGTTTTAAAGCTTCAAACAAGATTAGTTTAGTCTAAATAAAACCCCAAAAATAATCGAAAACTAGGAAAAATTTTAAAAAGATTGATTGATTAAGAAATAGTGAAGATCTCATTTTATACATCGGAAAAAGAGGAGTTAATAATAACAAACTTAGATACAACCAACCTATTCCCTTGATAAAAAAAAAAAAAAAAAAAAAACAGATTGATAAGGTTTTAGCCAGATATGTTCTTTAGTTTACAGTGGAATCTAGTAGTAAATAATGTCATCTATGTTTCTCTTGCTTTCAGAAATCCTAGAAATCCCTCTTATCAATCAATGATACATTAACCTCATAGTTTTATATTCATGTTCTAATGTTCAATCCCATTACCGCTTCAATATCTTTAGCATCAAGCTTTCGGTAATTGTGGTGTCTATAGACACCTCACATCCAATATTCCGAAATCGGTTATAAGATTCAGATCAGTATGATCAAATCCCGAAAATTTGTTGTAAGAAAAACCTATAAATTTGTAATTTTGTCATTTTACTAAAACAAATATGTTTCCAAAAAGTTTAGTTATTAGAAAACAAATGTTTTTTCCAATAGTTAATATAATATTTCCAAAATTATACATCCCTCCTTCATTTAGCAAAATTTCCTTGAAATTTTCCATTTGAAAAACACTCGTACTTGAAAAGATTTATGGACTTTTTTGGGTTTGTGTTGTGTTATTATTACCATACTTAGTTTCAAATAGCCACTCAAATGTTCATAAACATGTTTTAAAGTCAGGTAGTTTTTCTTCTTGTATTTTTAGCACGAGGTCTTGTCTCAAGTGTTTCCCTCCCTCCGTTTTTTCCATTCATAAATACTTTTTAAGTGTTTCTTAAATATAAACTCGAGTTCTTAAAAACACAAGTGTTTCCATTGTAAACTGATGCAGTGATTTTAATTACAATTTTATGCAGTAAGGGCGTAATATAACTTAAAGTAGTTAAAAATTAATTAAAAACTTTAGACAGTGCATTTTCTATAAATATATTTGGCGGCTTATCAAGCCCTTTAATGTTTTTAACAAATTGATTTAGCTTTTTTTTTGGGGGGGGGGGGGGGGGGTGTGGGTGGATTCCTTCCTTTAACAAAGGTTAACAATAATTTCATATGTATAAATATAAATTATGTTTATAGCACTTTATAATCAGTGTATCAATTTACATATTTAACAAATTTTTGCTTCACTTTAGAACACGCGTTATGTTAAAACAAAAATTTTTAATGGAAAACGCAAAAATTATGAAAAAAAAATTGCCATAAATTAGCAAAAAAAATTGTATACGAAAACAGATTCGAGTAAAATGAAACATTATTTTTAAACAAATAAATGTACTTGTTTGCTACAACCGATTTTATTGATGATTTCTATAAAAGATCTCTTATTTGCTCTATAGCTTGTTCTCTACCGTAACTAAAGTCAATGATGACGATCACAATGATAATAATAACAACGAACGCAATGTTGACGATGATGATGATGATAGTGCGAGTGCTACTGATGATCATGATGGCGTAGATGGTGTACACTTCCGGCGTGTTATAAAAGTTTAAACATAAATCCATTTGTATGTTTATACATAGTCAATTCATTCATTCATTCAAGTATAAGTGCTTGATCATACATATTTAAAATTTTTTTTTTATTTTATTCATAAATATGTTCTTGTTTTTCTATTACGTATTATTACTGCGATATTCAAATAATAATGATCGCAATTCATATCCTATACTTAGAGAAAGCAACAACAAAACGACTAAAATTGACCATTAAAAAAATTATAAAATTATTTTTATTAAATGTTCTTTTTTTCTCCATTTAGAGAAAAAAAATATTTTTAATGTGATGATTTATAATAAAAATGTAATTTAATTCTTAAAATTGTTGTTAATTAGTATTAAACAAATATTTTTTTTAAAGCACGTACTTGTTTTAAAATTTCATTTAGCTTGTTATTTAAAAAAAAAATATTTAACCCTCAAATGTCATGTGGGTCTTGAAATAAAAATGTATGTACAAGTAAAAGTGTTTT